GCGGTGACATCACAGGGACCCCCGCGTGATGTCGCGGTGCCGCGCTGATGTCACGGCGACCTGCCAATGTCACGGCGCCGCCGCGGTGACATCGTGGGGGTGTCGCGGTGACGTCACGGTGCCGTCGCGGTGACGCCGTCGCGGTGCCGCCGTCGCGGTGCCGTCAGGGCTCGGCGCCGCGCCGCGGGATGCACCCCTCCATGCGCAGCGCCGCCGGCCACCCCTCGTACTTGTTGGCGCCGCGGCTGTTGCGCACGTGCTGCGGGGACCACCGTCACCGCCTGGCCCCAACACCCCCCAAGCGTCACCCGGCGCCGTCACCCGGCGGCGTCACCTGCTCGAAGGGGCTCCTGTCGCGCACCCCCTTGGCGCCCACGAACACCCAACTGTCGCGGAAGGCGAGCTCGGCCGCCACGGCGCTGCCCAGCTCCGCGAACAGCCGCCGCGTCTCCTCCGTGAGCCTGCCAACAGCCGCGCGGCGTCACCCGCCCGCCCGGTGTCACGCGGCGGCGTCACCCGGCCCCGCGCGGTTGTTACTTGGTGGCCGGGTCGTCGTAGGAGGCCACGAGCACCAGGGTCCCCTCGTGCAGCGGCCGCAGGAACTTGAGCAGCTCGTTGACGTCTGCCGGGGGTTGCCGGCTGTTGCCAACAACAGCCCCGGCCGCCTGTTGCGCCCCTCCCACTCAGGGTGTTCCCCCCCCCCAAGGTTACAATAAACAGACCCCAAAATCCCCGGATTTTGCCCCAAAAAGCGCCCCCCCCCTTACCTCCGGCCCACATGTCGAAGGCCTGCGCGGCGATGAGCTCCCCGCTCACACCTGGGGGGCAATTAATTATTGTTAATTAGTTAATTACCATGAACAAAGAAGGGGCAGTGACCCCCCTTGGTGTCGCTCCCCCCCATTGCAAAAATCACCCCCCAAAGGGGGCAAAAAACACCCGTAACCCCCCCCAATACACCGGGGGGGTAATTAACACCCCATACCTTAATGGGGCTAATTACCCCATTAATTACCCTTCTATGTTTTAATGGGGGGGACAATTCGCGCCCTCCCCCCCGCTCACCGTTAACGAGCGCCACGTTGAGCCCCCTCCCCACGTTGTTCTTCACGCTGCTCATGAGCCTGTAAAAGGGGGGGGTAATTAGCGTTAATGAGGACTAATGGGGGTTAATTAGGGTCATTGGGGGTTRATGAGGGTTAATGAGCTCAATGTGGGTTAATGGGGTCACTTAGGGTTAATTAGGGTCAGGGTTAATGAGGCTAAATGAGGGTCAACGGGGTTAATGAGGGTCAATGGGGGTTAATTAGGGTCACTGCTGGTTAATGAGGGTCAGTGGGGGTTAATGAGGGTCAATGGGGGTTAATTAGGGTCAGTGAGGGTTAATGAGGCTCAATTAGGGTTAATGAGGGTTATTACGGTCTATGGGGGTTAATGAGGGGCCAATGACGGCCAATGGGGGTTAATGAGGGTCAATGAGATCAAGAGGGGTTAATGAGTCATTGAGAATTAATTACAGTCAGTGGGGGATAAGGGGGGTCAATGGGGGTTAATGAGGGTCAGTGATGGTCAATGAGGGTCAATGAGGGTCGAGGGTCAATGAGAGTCAACAAGGGTCAACGAGGGTCAAGGAGGGTCAACATGGGTCAAGGAGGGTCAATGAGAGTCCATGAGGGTCAATGAGG